ACATCAAATTAAAGAGCTTCTGCACAGCAAAAGAGACAATAACAAAAACAAAGAGAAACCCCACCAACTGGGAGAACATTTTTGCACCCAACACTAATGATAAAGGACTGATCACAAAAATCTGCAAAGAGCTGATGAGACTCAACAACAACAAAGAAAATAATCCAGTCAAAAAATGGGCAGAAGAGCTAAAAAGAAACTTCTCTGAAGAGGAAATGCAAATGGCCAACAGGCATATGAAAAAATGTTCAACATCACTTGCCATCAGGGAAATGCAAATCAAAACTACCATGAGATACCATCTTACACCAGTGAGAATGGCACATATTAAAAAACCTAGCAACAACAAATGTTGGCGAGGGTGTGGAGAAAAAGGAACTCTTCTACACTGTTGGTGGGAGTGCAAACTGGTCCAACCACTGTGGAAAGCTGTGTGGAGATTTCTGGACCTACTAAACATAGAGCTTCCATATGATCCAGCAATTCCACTCCTAGGTATTTACCCAAAGGACACAGAAACATCAATTCCAAAGAACACCTGCACCCCTATGTTTATAGCAGCACTGTTTACAATAGCTAAGCTTTGGAAACAACCCAAATGCCCAAAAATAGATGACTGGATCAAGAAGATGTGGTCCATATATACCATGGAATATTACTCAGCATTCAAAAAAGATAAACACATGCAATTTGCAGCAACGTGGATGGCGCTGGAAGGGATCATGCTCAGCGAAATAAGCCAAAAAGAAAAAGAAAAATACCGGATGGTCTCACTCATAGCAGGAATCTAGAAAACTTAAATAAGGGACCAGGAAAACGAATAACTATAAGAAAGTGAAAATCAAAATCAACAAAAAACTATGAACCAGAGACACTTTTAGGGGGGTTGGGGCGGGAGGGGAGGGATTGGGGTCAGAATGGGGGGGCTGCAATTGTATGGGGAATACAACAATAAAATTTATTATTAAAAAAAAAAAAAAAAAAAAACAAAACAGAATAACTGAAACCTGGCATTTTTATAGAATAGACCATAATACAACAGTAAAAATGGATGAGCATGTATAAAATTAATGATAGATGCAAAACCATGGATAATCTTAAAAACATGATTTTTTGAACAATAAAATGAGTTGCAAATTAACATGGAATATGACACTATTTGTAAAATGTTTTTGAAGTACTTAAAACACTACATACATACATGCATCTTATAAATGTCCCTATCACAACATCACAAAACCTGCATTGGACTAATAAACCACAAGTTCTGGACAGGTAAGGCAATAAAATCACCTGGTTATATTGGTAGCCATTTTTACTTTAAGGTGATCTGAAGCAAATGTGGCATAAGACCTACTCATGCCCGATGGTAGGTATGCAGGTATTATTTTATTATCAAAAATCTTGTGTTTGAAATATTTCGCAGCAAAAAGATTCAGCTTCAAGTTAAGCTTTAGGACAAGTGTCCTCTGTGTTGATATCTGGGACTTTGGGATGAAGAAGGGAATGCTCTAAAATGCCGGTGTCAAGGTGGTTATCTCTCCACCTGTACTCCAAAGCTGGGACAGAAACCTCGCCCTCCATCTAAAAGTCAATGTATTTTTGATGAAATTGAAAGATAATTTCTGCAAATACTTTTTACCTGCTAAGAGACTTTCAATCATGTCCTGATAACATGGGAAAATTTCTGTCACTGTATTAGTGGGAAAGAAGCAAATAATGTTTAAGGTGTAATGTAGAGTGATTTGAAAAAATTGATAATGAGGGGCCTCCCAGGTGGCACAAGGGGTTAAGACACAACTTATGACACTGTCTGCAGCCACTGCAGACAATCCCCAGCCAGGGAGCTACCCACATGGTGCAGCAGACCTCTCCTGACTCGCCCACTGCTCCCCTCAGCAGTGTGTTTCAGTCAGTCTGCCTGTTCTGTTCCCCGCTCTGTCTCAGGTGAATCCTCTCACCCCACCACACACACACTTCTGGCCTGTACCCCAGATCTTGTATGCATAAATAAGTAGATCTTTAAAAAAATTTTTTTAATTGATAATTAGATGATATTGGCCTCATACAACCACAACCAAAAACCCACTTAGTGTTTAAAAACTATGGTGCTTACCAACAGGGGCGGCGTGGGTGAGGTCACGTTGGCACTGGAGCTGTGGAGGACAGGTCAGTGTGGGCACAGGCTGCGGGTTATTCTGCACTGCCAAACCATTACCTTTTTGTAAATGAATAGCAAATCAATGAAATTTTGAAGAAAATGCTAATCACAGAATCTTAATATTTATCATCCTCAAAAAGCCAGAAAGGACTCAGCAATGGGGATATGGGTCCTTTAACCTGTATCTTTTTAGCCCCCAGATTCCAGGCAGTCTTGACCGAATAGTCTACCAACCAGGGAGGCATGAAGAGAGGAGATCCTCTGACACAGCAGGGGCCACACTGAGTTCCTCCTCCTTGGAACCCTGTCCCCCAAAAGTATCAGGGGGGTCACACTTGGCCACACCTCCCACACAGTCTGTGGGCAAAGGTTGTGCTCACTCCCTATTTGTGATAAATCCCTATATAATTTCACGTTCTGTTCTAATTCACATGTCAGTGAATTTCAGGAAGAAAGGTGAATTACATCTACTTTACTAGACTTTCCCCCACTGGCTAAAAAGCGGAGTTGGAGCATGGCTTCCAACTGCTCTGAGGTTATCTACTCTCAGCAGGTCCTCAGGGCCTCATTCAAAATCTGTTTTGTCAGTGGTCCCACAAAGAGGACCTGGTGCGACGGATGTGTGCACTTGTCTTCATCAGAGAAGCATTCAAGCCACAGGGCTTCCCTGTGAGCATCTGTGACTCAGCAAGAACTTCAGCCAGCAATGCGCAATCAACCCGCAGGCTTCATGTTACCTCCTCTGCCCCCGGACTTTCTGGCTATTCCAGCAGAAACAGCAGTGGCAAAAGCCCTCGTGGTCTGAATCAGTCAGTGGAAAGGGCAGGAAATGATGCGAGTCTGGGAAAAGAGGGGAGAGGGACCACTCCTGGTGGGCTCAGTCGTGGTAAAAAGGAGCAGAGGGGAAACACTACAGAGGTTGTCAGAGAGTGTGGACCCCCCAGTGTTGTGAGTATGGAAGGGTAATTTGAGGATAAGCCCCAAATGCCTAATTCTTTGGGGTGACAGCTGAAGGGGGTACTATGCATCTGGAGACAAGGGATGTGCCCATGCAGGTGACGTTGCAGGAGGAGAGGCTGGGAATATGAAGCCAGTGAGGAAGCTGACTTATTACTGAAAGAATATTAACAATGTGGAAGTTCCCTTACAGAGTCAAAAAAAAATTTAATCCACGGAACATTGTAATTAGAACTTATTCTGCTTGGATTGAAAAAAAATCTCTGAACATCAAATCATTTCCTTCTAATTCCATCAGCCCCTCAAAGGCCTGGTTTGGCCTCCTGTTTGGACTAGGGAGACACATGCCCCCACCCAGTCACCTTGAAGACCATGTAAAACCTCATGCATCAAAATGACCCTTTCTCATACATGCCTTGGGTCTAGGGGGTAGAAGCAATGGTGTAAGGATGAGGTTGTCAGGGTCAAATCTTGAGACACTAAAATGCCAATTTATTTCAAAATTGAAATATCAGTGTCAAACTGGAAATATTAGCCCCTATTAGGGTGAAACTCCTAATAGAATTATTTCTTACCGAAATTCCTGACTGTGATCAGATGGCCTCTTCTCTAAGCACTGGAACAAGGCCATACCACCGCAGGGCGAAATTGTTCTATGGAAATCTTCACAACAGGAAGTCCTCTTCTGTCCTGGTGTTTCCAAGTGAAGCCACCACTTATAGCCCCTCTTCCAGGCCAGACTTGGGGAGACATTTTCAGGGTTTCAGACACTATTCCACTGGACACTGCTTCCATAGCGCTTCCCAGGCACTTCATCTGAATGCAGTGCAGCTTGGCATGGTCTCGTGTGATATATGGTATCCAGTTTTGGAAAACAGTTCACACAAAAGCCTAGTCAACCCCAGGAGCTTGGGATCTTCTGCTTCTAGTACAGGCTGGTACATCTCGTTGGTGCTTATGAGGAAACTCATTCACAAGCCACGATATAGACAAATATGGATGGATGGATGGATGGATGGATGATGGATGGATGGATGATGGATGGATGGATGGATGGATGATGGATGGATGGATGATGGATGGAGAGGGATGGATGCATGGAGATATACAAACAAACATACATACATGCATACATATATTTAATTACAGACTATATCCAACACAGGTTTGGAAAATAGCCTTTATTGCATATGACTCTTATATGTAACACTGAGTATTGGTCCCTTCATCCTCCATCATACCACTGGCATTCTGTCTGCCACTATCTCCATGGTTCTATCTTCTCCCTGGAAGTGAGAAACAAATGAGGCAGAAAACAAAACAAAAAAAAAAAAAAACACAATGATATGAGCTCTGCTGGGCAACTGCCCTTTACTTTAGTGTCAAAGGTCAAAGCCAGGCACAACATAAGGAGCTTGTTTCCAGCAAATGGAACCTTGCAAGATACCTTGGGACCTCATTTCCATGTTGACCCCCCTCTCCAAATGTCCCTTTCTCTCCAAGGACAATGTCCATGGGCCAGAGTGTCATCCCAGCCCAGGTGAAAGCTCTCAGACCTCACACCTCTGGTCCTAATAGTTCCCTGTCTTTTCTTCACACTGCTCCTGACCCTTGAGACTGTGCTGACCTCTCTAGAAGGGCTTCTGGCTGTATTTCCTCTTCGAGTTGAGGTAAATCAAGGACACACTGAGAAAGTAAGAGTCCAACCTCTTCACTTTCTCATTCAAGTAAATGGAGATCAATTCCCCAAAGTGTTGGGTATGCCAAAGCTGATGAAGCTGCAGCGCTCCCAGCCCTGCCCTTAGATTCTTCTAGGCCCTCATGATGCAGACTCAGAAGACTGTGCCAGTCTCAGGCTTTACCTCTCCCAAGAGAAGACCACACCATCTTCCAGGATCTTCTGGCCCATGTAACTCAATTGCTGTGTGGAAACCAAAACAGAGAAAGACACTTCTTAGTCAAAGAGGAAGTGTTCTGTTAGCCCTTGGAAATTCTTAGAACTTCTTGCAGGAGCTGAAAGCTCAGGAAAAAATTCCACTTACAGGCATGATTTATGGAATGCCTGGGCAAGAAGCAAGGAGCCTGGCTATCCCCCACCCCCTTCAGTTGTCCCCTGAGCTGACAAAGCTCCCAAATCTCCCTCCTGGAGGCATGAGCCTGGACTGGAGAGATAGCACTGGCTTGGAGAAGGCACAGTCCCTCAGTGGACCCAGCCCTTGCTCACTTCCTGTCCTTTGGAGATTGAAACACATAGCCAGGACACTGGCTCCAAGGTCTCCTCATGCCAAGGTCTTCCCCTATGGGCTGCTCATCCTCATTCTCCTTTTGTTCTTGCTTCTCTTTCTTCTGCTCCTGCTCCTGTTCACGATCCTGATCCTTTTTCTGTTCCTGTTCCTTTTCCTGTTCCCGTTCCTGCTCCTGCTCCTGCTCCAGTTCCTGCTCCTGCTCATGCTCCAGTTCCTGCTCCTGCTCATGCTCCAGTTCCTGCTCCTGATCCTCCTCCTCCTCCTCCTCCTCCTGGATGCTCCTTGATTCCACACTGCCTGCCAGCTGAGCCATGGTCAGATGAAAGACGTGGCAGCTGAAGCCCTCCCTGATCCCAAACCGCACGTGCTCCTGGAGGATCTCCAAGGTGGAGAAGACCCGGCAGCAGGCCATGCACCTGAAGCCAGTCTCTGTGGTCACCAGCCAGTCCGGTGTCTTGGCCCTGGGTCTCTCCTCCACTGCAGGGGACCCCAGTGGGCTGTCTGGCTCTGCCCGTTCCTCATGCTCTTTCTCCTCCCCGCCGGGCTCGCTGTCAGACAGGAGGTTTCTGGTGGACACATCAGAGGGGGGGGCACCTACCCGCACTTTCTCGGGAAGGGTCACTTCTTCCATCTTCAGCTCTTTTTCTAGTGACTCGGAGGTTTCTTTGGTCTCCCAGGAGACAGCCACACCTTTTTGCATTTGTACCTTCATGTAGTATATTTTCATGCCCCTTTCCTCTTTGCTTATAAACACAGAGGACACGCAGGTCTTATAGGATGAAGGGGACGAGAAGGAGACATGCTGTGAGGGGGGAGCCAACTCCCCTTGTTCCTGAAACTGGAGTAGGGGAGATCTAGGCTGGGGACTGTCTCGATGTAATCTCCGCATTCCTGGGAAAGGAAATTAGAGACATAAGAATGGCGGGGGAAGGGGGCCTTGGTGGGGGGCCTCCCTGGTGGCACAAGGGGTTGAGTGCAGCGCTGTGAAGCTGTCCACAGCCTCTGCAGCACTGATTTGATTCCTGGCCGGCCAGGGAGCTACCCACACGGTGCAGCAGACCTCTCCTGTCTCACCCACTGCTCCCCTCACTAGTGTATTTCGTCAGTCTGCCTGTTCTGTCCCCCACTCTGTCTCTGGTGAATCCTCTCTCCCCACCCCACACCTCTGGCCTGTATCCCAGTTCTTGTATGCATAAATAAATAAAATTTTAAGGAAAAAAGTTTCAAAAAAAAAAGAATGGGGTGTGGGGCTGAGAAGCAGGACTGAAGCTGAAGGAACAGTGCTCATCCGTGCGGCACCTCGAAGGGGAAATGTGGTGTGGGTAGCTGTGTGAGGAGCCTGGTGTTTGTTGTTCATTTTATGAGAGGCTGCGTCTATGGTCCTTCACATGTGTGAGCAGGAATTCTGGATGGGTGTCTGCATTGAGGGGTATGTTGTCTGGTGGTGAGGGCTGTAGTGGGGGCGGTTGATGGGGCGGGTGTGCTATGAGGTGGATGCGAGCGTGTGATGCCATCGGTGTGCCTTTTTGTGGAATGTGGACTGTGGTGTAGGAAGATGGCACTGCGCATCCTGGGCGTGGGCTTGGGTGTATGCTGAGAACGGATGTGTGTGGAGTGCAGTTGGCTATGCTAGGTGTGTGGGCTGGAGCTGTGTATCCTGCTCCAGTGCCGGAGGCTGTGCTGAGGAATTCTGTCCCTACCTGGAAGTAAAACAATGGCAACCATACACAGTTCCCCCAAAAGTGCTTAATCTGGCCTTCTGCCTATATCTCAAACCCAGACCTTTCCGGCCCCTGATTATGAACTCCCCCATGGGGTCATGCCCTCCTAACAATTCTGCCAGACTCCTCCACAGAGCCTTGATCACCTCCGTCTGATTTGGTTTCCTCTCAGCCTCATGCCCCACACCCAAGGGACCCCACACCCCTTACCAACATGGATGAACTTGCGTGGAGAAGAAACACAAGAGAAGTATTCAGAAGCAGAAGAGACCTCCCCTACTCCTAGGCCACAGCCTTTGGGCACACCGGTGGATTCAGGCTGAGAGACATCCTCTTGTGTCTTTGAGATTCCTGAGGGAGGAAGGAGAACCTCAGAGATGGGCTGGGCATGTTTGTGCATCATTCATCCATCCAACAAAAATTTACTGAGCGTCTGACATATGTGAGGTGCAGCAAATACACAGGACCTACAGGCTGCTTCCTGGTGGATCCAGCAGTGTTTAATTCAATCAATAACCATTTTATTAGTGGCTTGTTAATAGTGCCAGCATGAGTGGAGAATGAATATGTCTGAAGGGTGAGAGGGATATGAATCAGCTAAGCCTTTGATAAGGGCAGGGCTGGTGGTGTTGGTATGGCGAGCAGCATTTATGAGGACAGCTCAGGATTAAGCCTCATGTAACTTCCCCTGATCACACGGCATGTCTTGTATTTGTGGTGGGAATTCATTCATTTACTCATTCAACAACAGTCAGTATCTACTCTGGGTCAGGCACTATTCCCCTATTTCAGGCTCCAGTAATGCTTAACCATCTAGGAGGAGGAGACAGACACCAAATAGGAGGGTCAGCTGGGGATAAGAATATCAGGGTTGAGGGCCTCCCCTGGTGGAGCAGGTGGTTGAGCACTGGGCTGTGAAGCTGTAAGCAGCCTCTGCAGCACCGGTTCAATCCCTGCTGGCGGGCAAGGGTCCCACATGGCGCAGCAGACCTCTCCTGTCTCGCCCGCTGCTTCCCTCAGCAGTGTATTTCGTCAGTCTGCCTGTACTGTTCCCCACTCTGTCTCTGGTGAATCCTCTCACCCTTCCATGCATCTGGCCTGTACCCCAGGTTCTTGTATAAATAAATAATCTAAAAAAAAAAAAAAAGAATATCGGGGTTGCCAGGTCTTGCAAACCAAAATACAGAATTTCAAATAAAGTCAAATTTTATTTGAATTTCAGATAAACCAGGATTAGTTTTCTAGTGCCAATCTTCCCATGCAATATTTGGGACATACTCATAGCAAAAAAGTATCCATTGTTTACCTGAATTCAATTGAACTGAATATCCTACATTTTATCTGACAAGCCTTGATATATATATATATATCACACACATATGTATATATGTGTGTGTGTATCAGGCTTTGGTGCAGGAAGACTATGGTGCCCACGTATGTATCACGTGTGTGAACACAGTATAGGGGTGATGTATAGATAGGCCCACATGGGTCCTGTGTGATTAAATAAAGAGGCCGTGTGTGATTTTTTTTCTGTTTTGGAGCATATGTGGATATGAGGGTGTTTGCGTCAGGAAAGACTCCCACAAAGATTCCACAGATGCTCTTACCTGTACCTTGAGTGGCGCGGGCCCAGGTACAGCAATGGGAGCATGACCACGCGGGTGTCACCCTTCGTGAGCTTCTAAACCCTTCTCCCCAGTGCTCCCCCCACACCACACACACACAAAGATATTCTCAAGTGTAAGGAGCAGGAGCCATCACTGTCTTTCCTGCCCTGGCCCATTGTGCCTGGAACATGCCTGGCGTCCTCATGATGGTGGGGACCCCAGACCCCTGCTACCGCTGGGTGCTAACTGGAGCTCTAATTTGGGAACCTGTGGGCTGTATATCTGGGGTAGGCACCTTTCTTCCATGTTTCCAGGCCCTCTCTCAGCACAAACTACTTGTTTACGTGCATTCAGTCACCACACAGTCCCACCCATGTGGTCTCAGAGGGCAAGAAGGGGACTGAGAAATGCTACACATCCGAGGCCACACAGCAGCAGGCCGCCTGCTCAGAGGCTAACAGAGCTCCAGGGACCACCAGCTGAGGGGGAAGCCCGCGGCCAGCAGACTTTCTGCCCATAAAGAACATCTGTGCTGCCCTTCCCAGAGGGACCCTTGGGGTGGATCTGATCCTCCAGCCCATATCGGTCTCCCCTCCTCCAGCAGGGTGGCTTCATCCTCCTTCCTGGACCAGCCTCAGACTGGCCAGCACCCTTGTGTCCAGATGCGTGCCAAGCACCTACCTCCTCCCTTCTCAACACTTTCTTGGGATTCTTCATTTTCCAGATGTTTCCTCTTTTGTCGCCGTTTCATACGACCCCCTAGCAGAGTCCCTTAGAAGACACGTAAGCTGCAGCTCTCTCCCTTTGCCCTCCCTGGTTCTCAGGAAATCTGCTGAAATGATTCAATACAAATGAAAATGGTCAATTCTCCCAAATGGCTGAGGAACTCAGATCACTGAGGGAAGCAGCAGCACCGCCCAGTGGTCACTACAGAGCAGGGCTGTTAAGGTTCAAAGGTCACCAGGCCCGCAGCAGCATTCTCTGACCTCAGGGATGACATCAGCAATGACATTGGCGCATTCTGTGGACCTGCAAATGTACACACCCCCTTGTCAAGTATGATTCCTTCTCCACATCTTCCATAGGTGACAGAATTTTGGGGAGATGTTAATTTGTCTCTGTCTAAATTTATTTCTTTTTGACTTCTATTCCATCCTTTCCCTTCAGCGTTCAAGAAGAAGCCTGAGGAGGGGCACAGAAGGACTGAAAATAGCAAATAGCATATGGATAGCCTTGGCCTTTATTTCTAAAACCCCAAACTCCCAAGAAATGAGAAGATACTTGAGCACAAAGACAAGCAGGAATTCTTTAATCCTGCTGAAATCAAGCAGTCACTTCCGAACCTTAAAGTACTGAGAGGTTCTGATAAGTCAGAGCAAGAGAGAGAGAGAGTTCTGTGGCTCATGTAGGAGAAAAGGACCCTGCAGTGTAGCTGGAGGGGCAGATGTGGCAAAACTCTAAGAGGAGACGGCCATAGGACACAGACAAGCAGAATCAAGGAACCTGGGCATCTCACAGGAGGAGCCACCAAACCTAAGGAAGCAAGGCGACTGGCTGAGCTGCTGGACTTCAACATCACAGCTGTGTGCTCCAGTAATGGTCCATACTCTGTCCCCCAGTCTCAAATCTTTTGCCCTGAATGATTTCCCAGCAGCAGTGGGTAGCAATATAAACAGGACACCAGTGGGATGAAGGCTTACATACAAATTAAGTGGAGTTATAAAACAGTCTTATTCTTTCTTGCAGGTTGAAATGTACACCCGTTGCAATCCATCTGGACCCTCCTGATTGCAATTTAAAATTAGAGATACCTCATTTTGAGGCAGTGGCCATGATCTGGTAGGAGGATAGAGGTGCAGGGATGAGGTGGATTCCCAGAAGTCGCTGGGGACATTAGAAATCCTCAGTGGACTCCAAATTAGAAAGGGCGTTGTAGATGTCATAAAGACAGAAGGAGAGCAAAGGCAGGACAAGAGCAGTCTTGTGAGGATTTGTTGATGAGATGAAAACTTCCCTTTTCATAGAGAAATCCTAGAAAAGAAGGGACAAGGTGGATTTTTAAGAAACATGCTGTGATAAAAATTTACAAATTTAAATTCCACACAACAATTGTATAGTGAGAATGCCTGTTCTGCTCCCTGCTCTGTCTCTGGTGAATCCTCTCACCCTTGTGTGCCTCTGGCCTGTACCCCAGTTCTTGTATAAAAACAAATAAATCTTTAAAAAAAAAAAAAAAAGGAAATCTAATTCCATCATTCCAAGGAAAGTGATTCTAAAGCATGTTTGTAAGATGCTGAATTTCTCAAATAATTGAACCTCTCTTCAGAAAAGGAAAATCAGGGCCTCCTGGTGGCTCAAGGGGTTAAGCAAGCACTGTGAAGCTCTGAGCAGCTTCTGCAGCACAAATTCGATGACTGGCCAGCCAGGGAGCAGATCCACATGGCACAGGAGACCCTCCTGTCTCGCCCGCTGCTCCCCTCAGCAGTGTATTTCAGTACATTGCCTGTTCTGCTCCCCACGATTCTCTGGTGAATCCTCTCACCTCCCACACCTCTGGCCTATACCCCAGTTCTTGTATGCATAAATAAATAAATCTTCAAAAAACAAAGGAGAAACCATTTCAATGTTACCAGCTCAGATTGTCTAATCAAGGGCAAGTGGGGATAACCACAGCAAGCCCAAATCTGATTTGACATATATCTATAGAAATCATAGAAAAAATTTACCTTAAGAAAGGACCCCAGGAATTTCCCCCATTCACACAGTTTTACTCTTTGGAGACCAGATCAATCAAAATTAAATGGATTATTTCATTGTAATGAATAACCCCCTCAAAATCTCAGTGGTTTAAAATGATAGGGGTTTATTTCTGATTCTTTGTCTATACCCCTTTTGGGCTGACTAGGACTTCTACTTCTCACTGTTCTCATCCCTGGATCTCAGTTAATAAATCCACCACTACCTGAAAAATTGTAAATCATCATAGCAGAAAGAATGAATTCTGAGGAGCCTTACACTGGAATTAAATGTTCTGACCCAAAAGTAACACACATCATTTCCATTAAAATCACTGACCATAATCTTACCTTGTATCTCCCCATTTTCTAGACTCTTGAGCCAGAAATAATTATGAATGGTATTACTGGACTGCACAGAAAACCATACAGAAAAATATTAATTCTTCTTCATTAAATACGAGATTTTAAAAAACCATCCAACTACTCATTCACAAAACTAGGTCTGTAACTCAGAATCTTTTCCCACCATGATATGTTAGAAATTTTACACCAGGACAAGGTAATTTGGATTATAGGATAGTTACTTAGTTTGCTTTTGTCTTGTTTCTTTTATATAAGTGGATTCAAGAGGCAGAGTGTGACAAACCCAGGAAAATTTGCCTTACACTGAAAGGCAACTGGAAAATAATTTCAGTGAAATGTTTGACCTACTAAAGAATAGATGTTTGGGAGCCTTATATATTCGGAGTTCTAGGAATATAAAGGACACAATCTTCCTAAGAAACAGGAGGAAATACTCCTGCCTCCCACTTCACTGTTTCGATTATCTTGTTGACACTTCAGGTCTTTGAGTAATAGTGGAGGCAACAGCTAGAGATTAGCCAAGATAAAAATATATATAATATCATGGCAGCCCCTGCAGAACCACATGCTATGGTAAATGCTTTTAGCTCAATCCTATTTGCTCATAGGTCTGTGCAGAGTAACAAATGGTTCTGAAACATTTATTCCAAATAGCTTTTGCTCTTATTACTTTAAAGATAACTTGGCTGCCAAATATTTGGCTCAATGATAAAAAAAAAATATATATGCCTATACGGTAGGCGGTTTTGTGCATCAAGATGCGCTGCTTATTTTGCTTCTGCAGATACATACACATCTAGTGAATTATAGGCAATCTTCAACTCTTCACCAAACTGTGGATAAATGAGTACACCATCACTGTGCCTCCCAACCCAGTCCTGGTCAGTTACTTTCCTTAAGAATATTATTCCTTGGTGGGGGGGCCTCCCTGGTGGTGCAAGGGGTTAAGCATTGCACTAAGAAGCAATCCACAATCTCTGCAGCACAAGTTCAATACCTGGCCGGCAAGGGAGCAACCCACATGGCGCAGCAGACCTCTCCTGTCTTGCCCGCTGCTCCCCTCAGCAGTGCATTTCAGTCAATCTGCCTGTTCTGCTCCCTGCTCTGTCTTTGGTGAATCCTCTCAACCCTCTTCCTACCCTCCACATCTCTGGCCTGTACCTTCCCCAGCTCTTGTATGCATAAATAAATAAATCTTTAAAAAAATTATCCCACTGTTTAAATCTTAAATGGTTTCCTAATATGAACAAAATAAAATCTAAAATAGTCAATCATCAAACATTCAAAGTCTTGCAGGAGGCCCCACTGAATGGAGCTGGATACTCAGCCTGGGACCTCCACTCAACTAGGTCAAACTTCCTCCGCACACAGAGCACAAGCCCTTGCTTAATTCATTTTATCAAAAGTATCTTCGAAATACAATTTATTTTTAAATGCATCTAACATCTTAGTCTCTGCAAGGACCCTTTCCAGATATCACTACGAGAATTGGTCTCTCATTTTCATAGTCTGTAAGTTGCACCTCTGGGATGGCTCTAGGCATATTCTGCTCTCAGACCAGTCTATTAAAGTGTGGTTACTTACGAACTACAGCATGGTGGATGAGCGCTTGGAAATTAGAGACCATGATTCCTTATCATATTGCCACAACTCTTCACAATATGAATCCCTCTACCTGTTTCCCCACCTCCAAAAACAAAAACTCAAATAAATAAACTGTCAGAGTACTGGATCTTCTTGCTCCCTAGCCAAACAATGTTCTGGCCGGTTGCCTTTCTAATTTATCTCTAGACCAGCACAGAAGGGCCATATCTGTGTTCACCCCAGGTCTGTCACCTACCTACTTATACTATGAAAGCCTGTTCCTCCCATTCCTGTGTCATCACCCCAGCTCCCTGCATCCTCTAAAACCACTTTACCACTATTTAAAATTTAATCATAGAGATTAGGTACTATTCAACTTTCAAGGGTTTTTGTTAAAATATAAACTATCTCATGAGAAGTGATAACTTGAACCATTATCATCAATTATTTTCGCAAGGAATTGAGGAAAATGGGCTGAGAGTTGAGGCATTCTTAATGAGACAGGAGATGTTTAGATATGGTAAAGAGAGAACACTAGCTGGCGATGAGACAGATGTCTGCAGTGGTGGTGAAAAAGTATCAAAAATAAATATCCAACTTTCTCTGATATTGGCAACAGGCCAGATCTTCCTGAGTTGGCACCCCTATATGAAGCAATATATTAAGAACAGAAGATCTCTCTCTCTCTACATATATAACATACATGTAATATATATACACTATATATAGTATTATATTTTTATATAATTATATGATATATATTATATAATTTTACACACACACACATATATATATATATATAGAGAGAGAGAGAGAGAGAAAGATAAGTAGATCAAGAATAGATGGATGGGTAGAAGGATGGATGGATGGGTAGATAGTTACCCATTGCAAGTTAATAATGTAAAACTGGATTGAGACTCATGGAGTTTAAATGCCACAGGGGGACCTCCCTGGTGGCGCATTGGTTGAGCACTGGGCTGCAAAGCTGCCCGCAGCCTCTGTAGCGCCGGTTCGATCCCTGGCTGCAGGTGAGGGTCCCACATGGCACGCAGACCTCTCCTGCCATGCCCACTGCTCCCCTCAGCAGTGTATCTCATCAGTCTGCCTGTTCTGCTCCCCACTCTGGCTCTGGCGAATCCTCTCATCCTCCCGCGCTTCTGACTGTACCCAGTGCTTGTATAAATAAATAAATTATCTTTAAAAAAATTAAAATATTAAATGCCACAAGGTAAATGGTTTAATTATAAAAGATGCCCACGATTGGGGTAA